TAATTCAGTAATTAGACGTTTTTGTTTTCCACGAGCTTGTGCACTGCTGTTAGCAATTACTCTTGATTGTAGTAATTTCTATATATGAGTTAGATCATTGAGATAATCTCCAAACGTAGTTTAAAATATATCAGCCAAAATAACAGTTCAGTTTACACTAAGTTTGATTCAGATAAGTATTGTGGAACGATGTCAGGTGTGAAGAGGAATAACAAGGAGATGGGTGGTAAACGTCAATAGGACACGTCACACTAACCCCCTTACCCAAAGAAAAAGATTAAAGGGGGAAACAAGTAAATCGACTTGGAACTTTAATGTGGTATTAATAAATATATTCACATCATTTATTTACTGTCGCTAGGTCAACACCATTGTTGGTTGAATATTAGTCTAGAGTATCAGACACTAAGTAGTCAATACTGTGTCAAAGGATATGAAATATACATATATTTAAATTGCTGGTTCAATCATCGCGGAATGTTTTCATTGATGTGACAAAGAACTCCTACAAGAACGACTAAAATATATTTTTACGATACCGATTTCATCGAATGTTTCTGGAATTTAACAGTCAATATAGGGTCACAAAAGAACTAGCACAATCACAACAGCAAAATCTATTTTAGGGAAACTATATAAATACCGTGAATATTTATATCATTAAAATATAATTTTAATTAGAGAACTGTAAACATTTTCTGACAGCTACAATCCATTAAAACTATTAATTTTATCAACATCGAGTTCTTTTAGTGCCATTCGAGTACAAGTAAACATTTCCTGTCTATGAAAAATGTCGACAGCTTTAAACAAAGTACCGTGATATATTTCTTGAAATAAAGGATGCTTGAGATATTGTTAATATAAAAATAAAGAGATGTGGTATGATTGCCAATGAGACAACTATCCACCAAAGTTCAAATGAAGTGGATGTATTAAAGCAGTTATAGGCAACCATACGGCCTTCGACAATGAGAAAACCCATACCATATGGTCGGCTATAAAAGTCCCCGACATGAAAAATATGAAACAATTCAATTGAGAAAACTAACGGCCCAATTTATAACAAAACAATTAACGAAAAATAAATATGACAGACATGAACCAACGACAACCACTGAACTACAGGCTCCTGACTTGGGACAGGCACATAAAGAACGTGGCGGGGTTAAACATCTTTGTGAGCGCTAAACCATCCCTCTAACCTGGGACAAGTATGTCTAATATCGATCAGTTGAGAAAAAAACTTAACAATAATAGGGCTTATTTAAGCTTCCCAATTGTGAACTTTCCATTTCTATGCAGCAACATTCTAGCAGTCCCTGCATATGGAGTATATATCTGATACCATATTCCGGAGTTTGTGTTTCCTATCACGATTTTTTTTTTATATAGGGTTGCTACTTACAAGGATGATACTTAACCAAGGGTATTAGTATTTAAGTTAAAAGACATCCCTTCGAAAGTTATACGGACGCAATCACCAGTTGGTTGACCGTTATGGAAAATCTGTGTCACATAAGACTATGGATATGTTCCAACTGTCGTAACCACAAATCCGTCCTTTATTTCTTGATTGTGACATCATCGAATGAGACTTATCACGGAATTTGTACTTACCATTAGCAACACGACGGTTGCCACTAGTTATAGTGGAACAAAGTCTGCTTATCCTTCAGAACACCTAGCTTCATTTTTTTTGTGTAGGGTTGTGTTGTTTAGTCTAAAGTTTTTATGTAGTGTTTTGTGGAATTGTTTGTCTTTTTGTTGTCTTTCTTTCTTTCTTTGCCATAATGGTCAAATAAATCTTGATGGCTTCCTTAAACCTTTAAAATTGGCCTTCAAACTTTTTAATTTTTTTAACGCCAATTGATGAGTTATGTGTATACGGAATGTAAGTTTGGCGTTCTTGGTTATAAGCTCGGTACATCTTTCCATGTGCTTGTCAAGTTATTTTACTTGTGAAGTAGTTGTAAATACATTGCATGATATAACCCATCAAGTATTGCTAGAAATAAAGTTTTCAGTTCCAGTTCAGAAATAATTTTTTCATCCAGCGACAACCACAGAAAACCTTTGGCCACCAATAAGATATTTGCCAAAAAAAAAAGAATGTTAATTAAAATTGAATGGGATTTATATGTGTGGTGGAAAAAAATGTGTGCACAAAGTTGTGTGAAATATTAATACAAAGAATAATATGAAACACTCCGACACGTCTTTCGAAGTTCGTCATCCGGACAGTTCTGATATGTACGAAAGAATCACTTATACCTTTGAAGAAACAAATAGAGAGTATATTTTATTTTTTTATTTTTGTTTACCGACAAACGACTTAACAACCGTAACGACCAGAAATAGCTGACCAGAAATCAACAAATAAGCACATGGTATCATCAAAAATATTTTTAAGAAAATCTTTCAAAATATCTTGTTAAAATGTGTATTGATGCCGGTGTACTTCATATAAGATATATTTGCCACATCTTTGCCTACAATGAGATATGATATAGTAGTATAATCGTGAGTGAAAAAAGTAGCTTACGTAATGTATGCTCGATGCCAAAAAACATAATGTTGATTAATTGCAAAAATCACTTTACTCCAAAGAACTGCCACTACAACCAGGTTTACACATGTAATATATTCATATAACACCGAATTCAGTGCACATGATACGTGCTTTTTATAACCGTTATCGCAAAAAGTTCGACAATCAAAATACATTAAACATTTAAGAGCAAATCTTTCTTTCGGACTAGTTTTAGTTGAAAGTCTAACAGCAAATATTTTTATTTCGAGAAATCCATACTCTGTCGTTGTACTAAAAGACATTAGAGTTCCAACATTTATAAATATCCACAGACAAAAAGGCACACAAATACACAATAACTGTTTTCGTTATAAAATTTTTATTATTCTGTGTTTTCTGTATGAACATTATTCATATAATGCTAACAACAACAAATAACAAAATACATTTATGCAATGGATCATACTTAATTCTGACTAAAATTCAGATGAAATTAAGTTGTGTGTTTTTATTGGTAAATGAACAAAACCAAATGTCAAGATCTTATTAATCTAAGAAGGAAATCACGTCAGTTTTAAAAGCATGCTTATTGAAATATCCGTTGTTTTCGTTTTAATGTATCATTCAGTTTATCTTCAAATGTAAAAAAAACAAGTGCATTTATATTGTTTTAATTTATTTAAAAATAATGCTGTATATGAAAACACCAAAATGAATTAAAATGTTAATTACTGTCAAACGTATTCTAACGCAGACAATTTTTTTTTATATAACAAAATATAATATGTTTACGTTCTTTAAATCTAATATTCGTAATTGTAAATTAAGAAAAGCCCCATAAAAAAAAAGTGTTTACCTTCCCAAAGATGTTACTCAAAAATAATTTACAACGAAGCAGCAGCAATTTACCCTTTATTAATTTCACACTAGAGCCATTTCCTTAAAGTCGTTAAATGTTTTCTAAAATTCACAGTATCACAGATGATATACACAACGTTTATGTGTATTTATTATCATGTGACTAAATAATAAATGTATAAAGATGGTTAAAAGTGAAATTTTGATAGCTTTTGCGTTGTCATTGGCAAATATACCACATCTTCTTATTTTTGTATTTGGCAAATGTACCATTATTTGGCCCATATAATGGGGTCACGGGTCGTTTTCTTTCTATACAAAACAAAATAGGTAAATTCCTAACGCATCCCTTTAGAAAGTACATTATCTGAGTTAACTCTCCTTATATGGCAGAGTTATAAAAATTGAATCAAACAAAATATATTCTGTTTTTTGTAAAAAGCAATCCTAAAAATATTATTAAACACATAATTTTCTGTATAAACATGAAAAGGTGTTTACAAATTAATTATATTCTTCACTCCTAATTTAGACATTTCATTAAAGACCGATTGTTTTCTACTATTTTTCAATCCAAGAGGAAGACACCCGATCTACCCTAACATGTTGATATTACGTATTTGACCTACAATGGTAATCTAACGCATATTTGTAGTTTATGGTCAAAATATATATGTGCAGCAGCATTACCGAACAGATAGTTTACACATATAAACATCTTATTAAAAATAATTTTGTAACAAATATTTGAGTAAAGCTCTTACTCATATCTAAATATTAATGACAAAGTCTTAAATTGAAGCTATTTTTGACAGTTTTTGGTGTTTTGCCCTAAATATTAGAAGTTTGAAGCCCTAATGCCAATATTTTAAGACAATATTAAAAGAAATTAAAACACTGATGTCCGACATACTAATGTCTTATGAACATCTGAAGGATTTTATTTGGTAGATCTATAAACTTTTTTTATTTTCAATTTCAAGAGGCCGAAAAGTGACCTTATCTTACCACCTCCGTTTTACTATTTATCATAAAATTATGTGGGAAATGAAGCTACATAAATGACATAGAGGCGAAAGATTTCAACGGGATAATCAAACTCATAAGTTGAAAACGGACTGAATTTCGAATACAACATTATTAATGTTAAATACCTTCGGTGCAAAATTTTACAAGAAAACTTTGAAAAAATAATCAACATTGTCTTGAACAGGAATGTGTAGCGTTAAATAACATTTTTATTTGATTGAAATATGTAAAATGATTGATAAACTCTTTAATAATTAATTATCAATAGGTTTTAAACATTTTTAGATATTCACCTTGCGGTTGAAAGAAATACAGGGGGAATTTGACTCTACCTCTTTGAATGAATCTTTTATGTGAACCATAAGTTGAAAAGAGTTTTTGATTGTTTCGTTTCATTTCTATTGTTTTTCAACAGGTAATATTCCATCCTCCTTATCCTGATACCTTAAATGTCATTCCTATGTATTTCTCATTCTTATCATAATTCTGAATATTAAAAAACAATTGCCCGATATAATGTGCATGACACTTCTTTGTTTTCAATGCGAATATGAGTTCTACAATTTTTATTTGTAGTCATTTAATAAATTGACTTGGATCCACTTAATCCTCCATAAGATCCACTTAATCCACCGTAATATCCACTTCCTGATCCACCATGATAACCTCCAATACTTCCACCATATCCACCAGAATATCCGCCCATACTTCCACCATATCCTCCAGAATATCCACCCATACTTCCACCGTATCCTCCAGAATATCCACCCATACTTCCACCATATCCTCCAGAATATCCTCCGATACTTCCACCATATCCACTAGAATATCCCCCATATCCACCACTAAAACCTAGATTGTGCCCTCCGTATCCGCTAGCATGTCCACCGTATCCCTTTCCATATCCTCCGTATCCTACATCATGTCCACCGTATCCTTTACCACCAAATCCGTGGTATCCTAAAAAGACATACACGTTCTTCAAACCAAAACTAACTATAAACTTGCATATAGGACCCTGAAACTTAACAATTACAAACAGCTCTATTTAAAGAAAAAAAATTAAGATATGGAAAAAAACTATAAACGGTACCAATTTTACTGCACCAGTTTCGCATTATGTCAACTAACATCTCTTCCGTGATGCTCGTGACCAAATTCTTTGACATTTCAAAACTTAATTACATAAAAGTTGAAGAGTCGATATAAGTAAAAAGACCAAACGTTCAGCTCAACCCGTACAAGGAATCAGAGTTATGTATGAGGAAGATACATTCTTTAATTTCAATGATATTCTAAGATTTATAACAGCAAATTTCAATAAAACAATATCCGTACTTGCATGCCAGTATCACAGTTATGTGCTACTTAGCTGGGCTGGTGATACTCTCGGGGAAGAATAGTCCAACAACAAATCGGAACAGTGGTAGAAAAACAATAGAACCAATAAAACCGTTACTGAAACCACGAGCCAAATGCATATACAAATTTTTTTTAGTTCTAAATTGTCATTATTCTCAACATTCTAAAATGGTGAAATTAAAATTTATTTAAAGTGTTTGCTAATTTGTAATTGATAAATCATTCACAGAACTTTTGAAGTTGATTGGACATATACAGGAACAGATCCTTAACGGTTTCGAGACTTATAAACTAATGAAAAGCAGCCCTCAATTTGAATTGCATATTTTTCTTGCAACTATCAGTTCGATTTGAATAAGCCCTGTTAAAAATCATAGCTGCTAAAATCAAAATTGGCGAAAAAAAGTTGATAGTAACCTAATTATCATATCAGTAGCCATTATGAGTATATCGATACCAGATAAAACAGGTTTGTGGAAATTATAATACCACTTATTACTTTCACGAATATATATATATATTTATATATATATATATATATACAACTCGTCTAAACATCAGCCCAACAATGATAGATCTGTAAATTTGCTTTCGCAAATATATATATATATATATATGAAAGTCGGGAGTATTTCAAACTATCATAAAAATATATATTAAATTATGTTACTGAAACTATAATATATATATATATATATATATGATTATTCTGATTTTTTTGTTACTGCATTAGATTTTCGTAAGCATTCTTGAGCAAATAAATCAAACCAACCATTAAAGCTTTTTTAGTTTAAAAAATTCAGCAGTGCAATTTGTTATTTTCTTTCGCTTTTGTCTTAAACTGTTTTTTTTTAAATGGTTAATATTGAAATATTTTCACCAAAAAATATCATTACTATAAATCATATAGCTATCTATGCAGTCTCTGATACGAAAAGATTTTTTTCTTCAAATTTAAATAAGATGGTTTATATCAAAGTTTTGTGAATGATTATCAATGTCAAATTGTATACATTTATAATTATAATGAAGTTTTCAACACTTGAAAGCTAAGTTAAAATACATCTAAATTATAAAAAAAAAATGAAACAGGAAATATAAAGAATACGACAAACGAATGTTTCGTTGGTATAACTATAACCTTACCTCCGTGTCCGTATCCTCCTCCATGTCCATACCCTCCTGCTGAGACAACAGCGGCTAGGGCAACAGTAACGGCAACAGCAAGGATGAATCTCATTTTCTGGACAAAAAACATAATTCATTATTGTAATAATTTATATATTGGTTATCAAATAGGGATTATAATCATAAAAATAATAACAACGACAAAAACAATAACAGTAATAGTAATAATAATTCTGTTTGTCTTAGCAAGAGCTATTTTGTATAACATTGTTGTTTCGGTTGTGATGGATCAATCCGTTTACGTTACACTGATCTAAAGTTGTTCCTGTTTGAACATATGTAGCTAAGTTTTGCCTCAAAACAAGGACCAAAATACACAATCAATGTTAGTTTTGAACGATTAAGTTGACTTGCATTAGTGAATTTTTTAGGGTCGTTATTTTTAATATGGAAAATTTGTAGGACGAAGTAAAGATTCCGTTAATTCAATTCAATGCGCTATTTCTTATTTTTTTCACTGAAATATTTTAACCGTTTCTTATTCCCTTCTTTATCTTGAACCAAACAAAAAACCAAAATGCATTGAAAAATAACAAAAAATAATTCTACAAACATAACTTTTTACTTTGTTATTCATATTTATATTTTTTTACTATTGTACATTGCAATTGAATTATTTGTACTTACTTTGTCGTTAGATAGTTCTTAATTAATGCATATAAAGTGATCGCGGATCTATATATAGTTGGTGTAATTATATCACACGGTCATGTGTATTTCAAATCCAAATAATATTGTAACAAGTTACAATGATAAGGACGACTTCTGGTCAGCCGTCGCCATGTCATTTTATGTAATCATGTTATTTTATGTGAAATGACAGACTTGCATTACCAGAACATTTTAACATGTTGTGATATTTAATATATAAACTTTAGAAATTTCCGCTTAACAATTGAAAGGAAAAAAAATGCCTCTCTGTCTAGAAAATTAAAGACTTCATATTATCAAAAGTTGGAGTTAAACTAGTAGTGTATTTACTTGCTATAATACTCTGCCGCAGAATATTTATTGAGATACTGAAAGAAGCATGTCAAAAATACGGGTGTAGAATTTAATGCGAAACAGATTCAAAGATATCATTGATTTTTCAGAAAAGTTAAACAAGAAGCTTTATTTTTCTTAGATTTTTCAAAAGCTTTGGATTATTTGTAGTACAAATTTAGGTTTTTAGTATTATTATTTTTTATTACGTATGCGGTTGATATTTTCGCTTTTGAGATCATACAAGACTAAGATGTCAAAAGCTACGAATATAGTTGAATCACAAACGGGGTTAACATTAAACAGTTCAACAACGCGGACATGACAGAGAGCACCTTTTGTTTGAAAAGAAGCGTTGATCGTCGATTTTTTTACTCTTCTTGATTATACTAGATAACTTAATTATATTTGATTTGGCTGCATTAATTTGTTTATTGACATAAACGATACATGTGACTAGGTAAAACAGATGTTGATTTGATTATTTCTAATAGGTACAAATATGAACGTAAACCTCGATACAAAAGTATTTTTTTTTAAAACTAAATAATCAGTTTTTGATTACTTATGGTCATAGAAACGGAATAATATGTTTAACTGATCTTTTAGTGACCTTTCCAATCGTGTCTGTACTTTTGGATAACAATATTCCTTGGCTTAAATTTTAACCAAATCCGAAGCTAGGTTAAATCTGAACAATAAATTTAACAAAGGGTTGAGTTTCACCACATAATGAACAACAAAAAATAACCCATGGTTAGATTTTAACCAAGGGTTATGATAATAAACATTTGGTTAAAATTTAATCAAGAGATAAACAATCGGGTCCTGGAGATTCCCAGAAACATTGGTACCAAGAATCAGGGACCTTGGGACCTTTACTGAGATGTATGTACAAGTGAAGTATTTGTTGACATCGAATAAAATATTCTTTTCGAATAATGAAAAGAAAAGATACAGAAGATAACGACATACACTACCATTATAAAGCAATATTCTATGTTCTGCTTGAGGTCACATAGAATAAAAAAAATGCTTTGCTGTTTTCTCCGATTAAATTTCAATTATGAAAATGATATAAATTGATATTCAAGAATCGGCAATTATGTCATAAAATGTAAACTCTTTTCCTTTGTCTAGTCTAATCTTTAAAATGAAATCGGATAACGTCAGGAATACTGGTCTTTTTAAAATGATATTGCATCAGAACATGGAAGTATTATATTGTCAATATAATACCTCCATGATCAGAACAACTGATGCGTCATTAAATTTATGCACCACAATATTAATTACGTGATGTAAAAAAGGTGATGTGGATTAAGATCACTAAGACAAAATCCTATATAATATTTACAAAAAGTTGTGAATATAATTTTCAGAAACTAAGGAAGATCTGCCTTTAGCACAAAATTCCCTAAATGACAAAAATAACCTTGACACGTAAAAAAAGACATTCTCTGATGCAGATTTCTGTCGATGGACAGGCGAACTAGTAGCTGGATTAAAGTAGTTTTAATATGTACTCTTCTTTTTATTTTAAACAGTGGAATCACAAAAAGGTACACAAAAAAGCGAACAACAAATATCAATACAAAAAACCAGTTAACTCTTTAGTTACGGTAAACAGTTTTAAAAAAGTGAAGTACAAGCAAAACAATAATAAACAAGAAAATGTTCATATCAAATAAGAGTTATTTATATGTTTTATTACTGAAAAAAAACTTGGAATGAGTAGAACAGATACAATTACATCCATTTTCATCACATGATAATTCAAATAACATTTTTTTAAATAATATTTAGTCGTAGTATAGTTCACAGAATAGAGACATCATTCCTGTCAAAGGAACGAAACTTATCAAATAAATACAAACAGTTTAACATGTTGTGTTTTGTGTACAATTGTTTGTCTTTTTCTTTTTTAGCCATGGCGTTGTCAGTTTATTTTCGACTTATGAGTTTGAATGTCCCTTTGGTATCTTTCGCCTCTCTTTAACAGTCCATAAATATTAAAAACCGCTATTGATATACACTTACACATTCATTAGTTAATGTATTTCAAAGAAACAGGGACCGTTATTCAATTAGAAAAAGGAGATTTTGGACATACGTCAATGAGACGACAATCCACTGGCACAAACAACCAAAAGACATCTAGAGGTCAACATATAATCTTGGACAATACACATGTGTCTATACAATATGTCGTACTCTTAATGGTCTTGAGTATATAAACAATTTATGGCAATTGCATTTACCCACACCTTTTCTGTAGTCGTGCATAGATAACTACTTTGAAAGTAAGTTTTACTTTTCCTTCCAGTATATGTTTTTGGTTGAATTACAATCTTTTAAAGCATTTTTTTTACTATTGCAAATTTCAAAAGGGAAAATATACCTTGTTCGCCTACTCTCGTGTCCTTTTTACATATAATATCTGTATTTAAAAATCTCTAGTTGTACAGTGAGGAGTTGACAGTCGGTTTCCAGTTGTTCCGGTAGACTCTTCATGTTTTTGTCTGCTTGCAACAATAAAGGGAACGGTTGGATCAACGTCAATAATAAAGCAACCACACAACACATTAAACACAGACATATAGTTAGACTTTTCATGTACCATTTTACTGTGATGAAATTTGTTATTTCTGGTGAAATATCAGTTCTCAATGTTATTAACCACTCAGTATTCATTACCTTGGCGACGGCCACGAAATTACCTTCTTCAGAAATTATTCGTTGGTAAATTTAGTATATTTTTTTCAACCAAAAAAACATTTAAGCAATTGTGTGTATATGTTTTTTCTGTTTTGTCCTGTCGGTTGTTGTCTCCTTGGCAAATATTCTTATTTGTAATTGGACGGTTTTTATATATCTCATAATTTTTTTGTAGACTTTCAACTGTCCAAACATTTAGCTAACAGGTTTATTGACTTCATGATGGTCTATAAATATCTATGGGTTATTACAAAAAAGTAAAATAAAAAAATACCGAACTCCGAGGAAAATTCAAAACGGAAAGTCCCTTATCAAATGGCAAAATCAAAGGCTCAAACACATCAAACGAATGGAAAACAACTGACTTTGTACAGGCATTTCCTTATGTATAAAATGGTGGATTAAACCTGGTTTTATAGCTAGCTAAACCTCTCACTTGTATGACAGTCGCATACAATTCATTATATTGACAACAATGTGTAAACAAAAATGTCAAAAAATGGGGTACAACAGTCAACATTGTCAAAACATTTTTTTTGGCGAATTTGTAGGGAAGTATTACAGAATTATTCATAAATCAGCCTGAGCTGTATAAAGATAATATTATACTTTATTGTTTTTTTGTTCAATTGAAGGTTTACAAATAATGACTTGAATTATCGGATTTGATATAAATTCCTCTCTCACCAGAGGTATGATGCCATGACATCTTGATTTAGGTATCATATGGGATAAGCAGTTTATGACACACACTTAAAAGCCTTTTGTAATTATACTTATAAGGTAAAGAAGACATGGAAACGGATTTAAATAAAGCAAAAGATAAATGACAATATTAAGAAACAACATTGTATATAAGAAACAAATTTAAAAATTACTGATTTTCAGCATGAAAAAATGTTCGATGAGCTCACATTTTGAAAATGGTCAGGTGAATGTACCTTGAAGTTTGGTATTTTTGTAAATTCTTTGTTATAATGTGGTCAAGATATACCGATTTGAGATTGCACGGCATATTTCACTCACGTATAATCAAGACCTACAGTTTTGAAAGCCAAATTAACTGTCGATTAGAGTGGAATGCAATCGATTTCTGCCTAAAGGCTTGTCAAGTTATAATACACATGCAGCAGTTTTGAATATATTGCATAATAAAGCCTATTAAGTAATGCTTGAAATCATGTTTGTCAATTCCTGACATGAAAGAGCTATATCGTTAAATCGACTGCCACAGACAACTAAAACAACCACAGGTCACCATCAAGATATTTGTTGTGAAACTTCGACATTAAAACTTCAGTTTGAGTAGGAGTTTTCGGGGACAATAAACAATATTTTTTTCATAAAGTTCTGATAATATTATAGATAAACTCATCATAGATACCAGGATTGAAATTTTGTATTTGCGCCAGACGCGCGTTTCGTCTACAAAAGACTCATCAGTGACGCTCGAATCAAAAAAAGTTAAAAAGGCCAAATAAAGTACGAAGTTGAAGAGCACTGAGGACCAACAATTCCTAAAAGTTTAGCCAAATACAGCTAACCGCGATAAAGTTTCTGTTTACAAGTAAATAGCTTAAGAACAAAAATAATGATCTCAGTTCTCATTCTGCTGTTCTTCATCTTAATCGAGATCCTTAAACGGTGAACGTGGACTTACATATTTTCAAATATATGGTACAGTATAATATGACATATACAGTAATGCAAGAAATCATGATACTTTTGTAAATCTATTTCAAATCAGAAAGAACTTTATCGTTACACCGTCTACCACAGAAGCCATAGACACCCACAGGTTACCACCAAGATATATGTTGTGATACGATCATAATATAACTTTAGGTTGAGAAGGAATAATTGGGGACAATATATAGAATTTTTCACACAAAGAAAGTTCTGTTTATCATGAGCAACACGACGGATGCCACATGTGGAGCAGGATCTACTTTGTCTTCCGGGGCACCCGAGATCAACCCCAGTTTTCTGTGGGGTTCGTGTTACTCAGTCTTTTGTCTGTTGGTCTTTTTCTTTTTTAGCCATAGCGTTGTCATTTTATTTTCGAGTTTGAATGTCCCTTTGGTCTCTTTCGCCTCTCTTTTAACATTATAACCGAACCGAGAGAAATTGGTAAAGAAATACATACTCTTTATATATGCATGAATATGCATGTGAACCTGTGACAAAATGTTGACAATCAAAATCAAAATCCTGATTTTAGGCAGCCAATAACTATTTGTAACGGGGACACACCAATTGAAAAAGATTTCACTTCTTTGCCCTTAGCTAATCAGCAACTGAATAAGTAGAAACAACAATATAATATAAATAAAGCCACAGTAGTATACCGCTGTTCAAAAGTCATAAATCGATTGAGAGAAAACAAATCCGGATTACAAACTAAAACCGAGGGAAACACATCAACTATAATAGGTAAACAACGGAACAACAGAAACACTGAAGTGCAACCATAACAAACACCAACATACATAGAAACGAACTATTTGATAACAACTGCCATACTTCTGACTTGGTACAGGACATTTTGAGAAAAAAATGGTGGGTTGAACCTGGTTTTATGGCTAGCAAAACCTCCCGCTTATATGGCAATGTTAAAAAATATCGCTAAAATGACAACACTGCGTGGCAGAAATGCACCACAAACAAGCACATAAACACTCAGCACAGAAAAACGCACAAATAAATAATATAATAGTCGTTACAACATGTAAACCGCAGAATAACAACGAACATCTTCCATTAACGACAGAACAGGACATCACAAAAAGTGACGTATTTTTGTAACGAATATATAATCTTGAAATTCATACAATTATTTTCACAATACTAGTCCAAACAATTATCATAGCTATGACGGTATATAAAATAGTTGCCGAAAAATCATTTGATTGAAAACAGCCAGTACTACCGGTCTTTAAAATATAAACGTATAACACCGATTACTGGACACATGACACCTATTTTCGGATCAACCTTTAGCGCCAAATGTTTGGTTATCTAAATAATAAGATATTTAAGAACAAATTTTCAGTTGTTAAGACTAATTTTTACTTAATGTGCAACAGTATATATTTGTTATCTCGAGAAAATCATACTTTATAGTTGCACTACAAGCCGCCATTGAAGAACCGAAACAACTCATCAAAGATAACGATACCAGGCTTATAATTTTGTACACCAGACGAGAGTTTCGTCTTCTAAAGACTAATCAGTGACGCTCGAAAAAAAAAGTACCAAGCATTTATAATTATTTACGACTAAAAGGCAAAACAATTACAACATAAATGTACTCCTTTTAAAATTTAAACGGATGTTTTTTTTTCCTCTTGAGTCGTATATGATTGCCTTTTTATATGTTAAATAAAAAGTTATCAGAATCAATAAAAAAATTACATTTAAAAAAAACCATATTGTATTCAAATATAAGATAAATTTTATTTAGATCAAGTGATTCAAGTCTCTTTCCAAATATTTAAAAAAAAAGGTTAAAGGTTATTGTAAGTTTTATCATGTTTCTCTGAAATTGAATTGATTTTATATTTGAAATGTTTATATCATATGCCACTTCATATAATAGTTAGTATCCACCTCTTTGTTTATTACAATTGTTATCAAATAGTGGGTGGTCAAAATATTCTGGGGTGAACATAAAAACAATGCACGGACAAAATGTGCACGTCACTTAATAACTATGAATGTTAATATGATTTTCAAGTCTTCATTTAGAGTCAATCAATAAATTTACTTAGCTATTCCAGGATATGGGGATTAACCTTGGTAATAAGATCCTCCATATGGGTAGTATGAACCACTTGCTTGATGAGCATAAGATCCACTTAATCCTCCATTATTTTCTATTTTAAATATTTAGACAAATTCTTTCGCTTTGCTCCTATTTTGAACAAAACCAACAAATGAAAATTAGTAAAACGCAACAGAAAATAAATAGAAATAATTTCACTAAAATTATTGTTTTTACTTTTTAATTAATATTCATAATTGGTGAATTAACTTTAATTTGAAATACAGAATATTCACGGACTGAAAGGCACACAAATACAACATATATGTTCACTTTGTTAAATCTTTTATTGATATATGTTTTTTTTGTTTCAATATTTTTCATGAGTAATGCAACAAATAACAAAATACAGTTATGCAATGGATACATAATTCTATTAAAAAACCACAGGACTTTGAGTCGTATGTTTCAGTTTTCAATTGTAAGTGAGCGAAACAAATCTAAAAAATCTAAGAGGGACATCAGTATTTTCAAAAAGCATACTGTCTTCATACAAAACATTGTTTCCGTTTTAATTGATTCTTCAATCTCTTTAAAGATTAAAAGCACGTTAAAGGTTATTCCAAGTTCATTATTTTTCTTTAAAGTTAAGTTGAATTGTATTTGAAATGTTAATAGTATATAACACTACCAATATTTGTTTGTATCGACTTCTTTGTTTATAAATGCATTCTATCCCTATGAAATAGGATGTGGACATATCACTTTGTTTGATAATATGATTTCTACAGTTTTTATTTAACGTCATTTAATAAATTGACTTGGATATTCCACCAGATGGGTAGTATGAACCACTTGCTTGACCGTAAGATCCACTTAATCCTCCATAAGATCCGCTCAATCCACCGTAATATCCACTTCCTGATCCACCATGATAACCTCCAATACTTCCACCATATCCTCCAGAATATCCTCCGATACTTCCACCATATCCTCCAGAAAATCCTCCGATACTTCCACCATATCCACCAGAATATCCTCCGATACTTCCACCATATCCACCAGAATATCCTCCCATACTTCCACCATATCCACCAGAAAATCCTCCCATACCTCCACCATATCCTCCATATCCACCACTATGACCTAGATAGTGTCCTCCGTATCCGCCATCATATCCCTTTCCATATCCTCCGTATCCGCCATCATGTCCACCGTATCCCTTTCCGTATCCTCCGTGGTATCCTAAAAAGACAAATACATGTTAAAAAAAAATTATCAAAACTAACCGTGAAATTCACTTTCTTCTAACCAGTTAGATAATGAAACTTACCAAATGCAAACCCTTTGGTTTAGAGGTTTCGTGTAATAAAGCGACGTTCAAATAGGTCTTCAATTTTAGCTGTTTTTGATTAATAATGATATAAATGATATGGAAAAATTGTAGCTAAAACAACGTTCCTTATACACATACAAGCATGTTTTCAGTCCCAAATAATCATTCATCTCCTATAGTCAAGATCTTTTGTCGATAAAACTTACATAAAATTTAGTTATAACGTAACTTAACTATCATATAAGTTATCATCATTCAATGAGTATACCGATACCACTTGAAGGAGATTTGCAAAAATAGCAAATTAACTTTTTCACGAAAATATGAGTGTAGAGCATTTCAACTATCATTAACATGAGAGTTTATCTGATACTGAATTATGATAATAACGTTTATATCATTATTACATACAAATAATTATTTTATGTCATAATTAGATACAAATAATTAAACAGAAATTATAAGAAATGTTACAATTGAATTTAATGTGAAATTTGTACAATAAAAGTCTTACCTCCATGTCCTTTACCATATCCTTCTGCTGATACAACAGCGGCTAGGACAAAAGTAACGGCAACAACAAGGATGACTCTCATTTTCTGAACAAAAAATAAATTTAATGAATACATAAGATAAACTAACTAATTAACGCGAATGTAAACGTGGATCATCTCTTATATAATTACATCAGTTATTGAAAATCGCGAGAACAAATTGGCGCGAATTTGGGTAACAAAACTTTCACACAAAAATGTTATCCTATAGAATGAAGTTTGCAGCCTTGGAAATGAAAATATGAAGGATAATCCGAAATATAATACTAACCACAACAACGACAATAATTATACTAATACTAATCATTTTGCACTAATAATGTTGGGACCAAATTCACAATCAATGTTAGTATTAACCGATCACTTTATTATTTTTAATCAGGAAGTTTTGTAGCGCGAAAAAAAATTCAGTTCAGTTAAATGCACGATTTGTTTATTTTTTATTTTGGCCCTATTTTTTGTTTTGCTTTTCAGGTATTTTAAACAAAAGTAACAAGTAAAAATCAATCAAAAAGCAATAAAAATAAGTAGAAATCATTTTACTAACATAACTGTTTTTACTTTGTTAGTCATATTTATAATTAGTTATTTCACATTGAACTTGGAATACTGATATTTTCTGTACTTACTTTGTGGTTAGATAGTTAATAATTAGTGTAGATATTGTGATCGCAGTTTTATATATATAGCTAGTTGAATTGTGTCATCCGAACATGTAAATCAAACCCAAAAATTTATTACACGTTGTTATGCGAATTTTATCAACAAGGACGTCTTTTTAACCCGACACTGCGTCATTCAATGTAACAATTTTACATTATGTGAATTAACAGATTTACCTTATCATTAGATGATTTTTACATGTTGCGTTATTTATTATAAGAACTTTAGAAGATTGCGCTTAAAATTCGATTAAAAATTACAAAAAAAATCCCTCTCTGTCTGGATAATTATAGGCCTAAAAATTTTCAATATTGATAAAAAAAACTGACTGACATTACGAATTATTTATAATCTACCGCAGATTATTCATTTAGAATTGAAACGGATGTGTAAAAAAAATTGGCATATAAATCAATATTTGACAGTTCCAAAAAATGAAAACAACACGTTATAAATTCCATGCGTTGAAGCGCTTTAATAGATTTACCTTCATCAGGAACGCTCAAAGCCGAATATTTGAAAGCCAAGGATGTATAAGAACCTAAACAGTTGAAGAGCTATATAACCAAAAAGGACCTAAAAAAATAGCTAAATCCATCTAAGGTCAATTTTGCGTGAGGGAGTTGAAACTTTAATTTCTAACAAATTTTAAATTTTTTAACGGGCAATTTAAGAAAGGTTTGTTATAAATCATGTCAGTACCAAATGTCAGTACCAAAGTACTGACTACTGGGCTGATGATACCCTCGGGGACTGATAGTCTACCAGCAGAGGTATCGACCCAGTGTTGTAAAAAATGAAAACAACACGTTATAAATTTCATGTGTCCAAAGTTACCATTGATATTTGAGAAAAATTAAAGGAGCTTTATTATCCTTAAGTTTTTTTTCGAAAGCTTAGATTCTCGTCAGTGGGAGTTTTATTTTTCTATTACTCTATCGTTTTTTGGCTTTACATAAATTAAGGTTTTAAAATTTCGTATTCAAATGAATGAAATTTTTATACTGCTATTTAAAATTTGTTAATTAAATATGGTCGGATTTCACAACCGAGAAGATTTTTTTTTAGGAAAATGGTAAAAATATAATTGAGTAATATTTTTTTAATTGCCGTTGATACAAATATAGTGCCTCTGTCACTGGCTTGACTAGTTATTAATATTCTACCGCAGATTACTTATTATGGATTGAAAACGCTTTTAGGATTAGGTTAGTTTAATACCAAGATATTTCAAAACTTCAAGATAGAGTTGAAAAATTTGGATCGCTTTCATGATTTAAATTAAACACACCTAAAACTTGTAGTAATTAGCTTGGGAATCAAAAGCACTGTAAATCCATCTATGAAAATATCATCTGGGATTTCTTGGCATATATACCAGTAAAAAGTCTTGTTACATATTTTTGACAAAAATTAAATGCTAAAACACAGTTAGAACAGTCATCAGAGGTAATTGTTTACAGGGAGAAGTAACCTACATTAGATAAAGAGAATAAATGTTAAAAAGCTTCTTACGGTTCCTAATTTTAAATTTTTGATTTAAGTTTAAACAATAGATAAGGAGTATTTAGATCTGTTAAACAAATTGATGAACAAATTGTATCAAGTTTTGATAAATGAAAGTGAAAAATATGAATTGGTTGATCGACAAAATATGATGGAAACAAGACAGATGGAGATACATTTCATAGCCTGGTAATTTATTTTAGACAACTTGACACTAATATAATCATGCCAAAAAATCTGTATAGCGTAAATTCTATTTACAACACGAAAGAGTTAACAGAGGTTTATCAAGATGTGATAAAAAAGTGAATAAAGATTTAAATACGAAAACTATATTTCTAGTAACTTTATACAGTTTTTTGGAAATCAGTTAATAGTATTCATCTTATTTGATGTGGCATTATTGTTGGAAGAATTTTTAAACAAGATTTGTGTTGCCCCTTGGTATCTATCCAAGTTCTCCTTTTACTGTGTCATGACTGTATGTGTTTTCCTTTACCTATGTCTTTTTTGCAACAAGATTGTAAAACTGACACTACAATTGGGACATTTAAATTGCCCAGTTGATATTGTATGAACTACCTATATTCTGTGTTTTTTTTTCTCACTCTAAGTTACCCTTGCATCATGCTTTTTCCATGAATCGATTCTTCACCTAAGGTGTTTCAATGATAATATTGGAAAGGGAAGAAAATGTTGTGTTTTTCATTGTTTAAAATCTTTGATAGAGATGATAAATCTTAAACCAAAAATTTTAAAAATATAATTCAAGGAAAGATTTTTAAAACTGCTTGTAAAAATGTATTGAAATAAAAGTTCTTTTCCATGAATTCATGAACGTTTATTATTTTTACCCTTGTACATATAATGGTTCAATTGTCAGTGAAACAAGAAATAGCTATTTATGTAGTTCTTTTTAGTTTCAGTTTTTCTCTATTACAATGCAGTTGGATATGTCGTTTATTTTTTCAGACTAGTATATCCCTGCAACTTTTCAATTTGGAGTACGGTTGACAGTATTTGAAGTCTATTGGAATCAATGTGCATATAATGTATTGTGATTTATCTTATTTGAATTCATTTCTTAGATGGGATTAAATTATGCATCTGCAAATGGAAGGTTTTTTTTCAAGAATAGAATGCATGAAAGAGTCATCCAAAGAGTTTATGAGGCTTTCATATGTGCATGTTATATTCAATGATGATTGACGTGTATTATAGCTTGCAGTGTTTTTATTTGAAATCTATTGTGGTTTGTGTGCACAAAAATAATATGTTCATTCCAGGGAAGTAACTTTAGTAGATAAAGTAAAAAAACTAGAGGCTCACCTTGGTCTATATGCATAATTAATAAAGGACACATTTTTAAAACTAAATACCCTAATGATGATTGTGGCCAGTTTGGTTAAATTTGTCTCTGTAGTTTCAGAGGAGAACATTTTTGTAAAAGATTACAAAAAATGACGAAACATTGTTAAAAATTGACTATAAAGGGCAATAACTCCTTAAGGGGTCAATTGACAATTTTGGTCATGTTGACTTATTTGTAGATCTTACTTTGCTGAACATTATTGCTTTTTACAGTTTATCTCTATCTATAACAATAGTCAAAGATAATAACCAAAAACTGCAAAGTTTCCTTAAAATAACCAATTTAGGGGCAGCAAACCAACAACGGATTGTCTGATTCGTCTGAAAATTTCAGGGCAGATATATCTAAACCTGATGAACATTTTTACCCATGTCAGATTGGTCTTAATGCTTTAGTTTCAGAGATATAAGTCAAAAACTGCATTTTACCCCTATGTTTTATTTTTAGCCATGTCGGCCATGTTGGTTGGCAGACGGGGTCATCGGACACATTTTTTAAACTAGATACCCTAATAATTATTGTGGCCATGTTGGTTAAATTTTTCTCTGCAGTTTCAGAGGAGAAGATTTTTGTAAAAGTTTACGACGGACGACGGACGACGGACGACGGACGACGGACGCCAAGTGATGAGAAAATCAAAAATTTAATGCATGCAGAAGAAATTAGTTCATCCAACGTATTTCTTTGGCTATGTATGTGATATTGGAAATGATCATTACAAAATTGTGGTTTAACTAAGAAGATTCTGCACCTGTTTAATTTGGATATATACTATGGAAAATGAAATAAAAAGTTTATACAGTGGATATGGTCAAATTTATTGATAAAAGGGAAAATATAAGTAAGATATCCAAAAAAATTCTTGCAATGAGGATAATAATTTTGATTGCGATATTTTTCAAAATTCTGGATCAAAAATTAATAATATGCATCTGTTTAATTAGGATATATATATCATGAAAATGAAATGAAAAGTGTATACTGTGGTTATAGTAAAATCGAGTGATAAACGGAAGAACATATGTAAAACATTTTTTTTTAAATTCTTGAAATGGATTATAATTTTGAATATATGTTATTGAAAAATTCTAGATCTAATATAGAGAAATTGGATCTGCTTAAATAAGGATATGCATATCATGGAAAATTCCGTGGACAAATTCAAATTTAGTAATATAGTGGATTATATAAGTAAAATATTTCAAATAATTCATAAAATGATTTTCTATTATTTTAAATAGTGAAATTGGAATGCTGGAATAATATCGCTTTTGTGTAAATAAATAAATGAATAAAATATTCCATTCATAATTATTATTTTGATATTTTACAAATCAAATCAAATCAAATCAAATATTTTAGTGTCGTATAAACTTTCAATTTGTGACCAACATGTATTTACACAATAAACATATATACATGTATTGTACTTAAAGCGCGGAAATCACTATGTGATCCGTGTAAACTCATCGAACCTTTAAACAAACTTATTAGTAAAGGTTAT